AATCTTTCATTTAATTTAATTTAATAATAATAATTTTTTATAATAATAATAATTAAGTATTATATTATAACTCTATTGTTATCCTTAATTATATTTTTCATTTTTTATATTTAAAATAAGATGTTTATCTTGTATTTGATCATGTTTACTTGCAGTTAGTTACACAAATTTAGACATACATCTTAAATAAGTTGTATTTATGTACACTATACTTGTAACATTGAATTTTTAAATAATGTACATCAATAAACAATATTTCATACATAAAAAAATGGTTTTTAAGAGTTTGTATCAAATGTTTTATAATATAGTATACATATAATTTTAAAAAATGTTGTTTATATCTAATCTTAAATATTTTTGTGAAGTTCTCCAAATTTGAAAATTTTCACTCTCTTTCATGCTCTCTTCGTTTTGGAGAATCTGTTAGAACAAAAAGGTGAGACGACTTTTCTCAAATACAAGACAGATCTCATATTCGATCCTAAGTCTCACGCTAGTCTCAATCGCTAAATGAATCAAAGTATGCCCCCTCACATTTTGTTAGTATTTTATTTTACGTACCGAATATAATATCAAAATCAACCGATATCATGTAGTTTGAAAACCTGTTTTTCAGGTAAAATAAAATAATTAAACATTTGTTGAGAATAAGAAAATATATATTTTTCTGTTAAATAAACCAAAAAATTAGTTTCTCAGTAAAAAGTTGATTACCGGCAACCTCGGTCGATTTCACATAGAACCCGTCTTCAAGGACACCGATACAGCGGAGCATTTTTAAGCTCGCTCAATTGTTGAAGATAACAGATAGCCTGAGATCGAACTCAAGACTTGTCTTGTATTTAAGTAGAATCATCATACATCTTTTACCAACTGAGCTACACATCAGTTGTATTTTCATATACTCTTGTGCATGTTCAACTGCATTTGTTTTTAAGATCGTAATACCTTAAAATTATAGTGTTTTTAATCAGATTAGTATATTTTTTATTATAATTTTTTGTAGATTATTTAAGGAATAAATAATGATAAAAATATATACAAATAAACTATAAGAAATTAAAAACATATTAAAAATGGAAACAAAAAGAATAAGTGGTGAATAAAAGTGGGCCTTGAGGGAGGGCCCATTTTTATAAGGCCTGCAAATAAGATTCGAGCTGTCCCTGACCCATTTTGAAACCCTTTTCTGATAATAAGGGTTGCCTTCGATGCACGATAGTAATCGGGCCTAATACTTGGCCCTATCATCATTAGAAAATGGGCCCAGTATCAGGCCCTACAGGTCACTAAGAATCGGGATCTTTTAGATTACTTTATAAAACGGTCATTAAAAATAAAAGAGAGATTTTAACATATATTGTGAAGAAATAAGGGTCTTTTGTTAACAGTTTAATGAGAGCTTAACGTGACTCAGTTTACTTGGTCGTTCATATATAATTGTTTGATAGTGGCTTAATAATATAGAAAGTCGCTTATTTAATAAGCTTTTAAGGAGACCTTTATGTAGATGGGGCTTTGAAAAACACTCCCAAACAAAAAGTTTTTGATCTATACATACAGATTAATCCATACAAACAGCTTATTCCATACAGAACTTAATAGAATACCAACCAAACAACTCCTAAGTCTATTCGATGTGAAACTCCAACACGCTCTCACCAATGGAGGTTAGATGTGCACAGATTGTCTAAGAGGGGACCAGATATAGATAAAGAGTATCGAGTCCCTAGAGTAGTAGATGTGGATCCGATATCTTGTGAAAATATCCGGAATCAATTAGATTATCCTTCAAAATAACCCTCAAAGAGGGAATGAAGGTTCTATACATGTATCGAAAAAAATGATTCAAATCTAGCCGTTGTAGGTTTCGACACTTTTGTAACCAGTTCTAGACATGATTCGGTCTTGGGGTTGAAAAGTGAAGCTAAAGTAGAACTCTCGGTCCCATCCAATCCCCAAAGTGGCTAACCAGTTTCCTGAGAAACCAAATGAATCCAGTAAATCCCAACTCCTACACAGAGTTAAATCTGAGAAAAGTAGGATATACACAAATCAAATCAGTAAATCCCTCACGATAGAGATTGTTTCCATGAAGACCCTGACTTGTGCACAAATCTACTCCCCGTAAACCGAACCATTCAATTCATATATCATAGATTGATTGTTTTTTTCATGTTCACATTCTCTTTACAAGCTGTGGAAAACAACACAAAGATCCACAAAACAAAAATAAAATAATAATAATAATAATAATAATAACAAAAACAAAAACTCGACCGATTAAACTAACAACATGATGCCCGAAGTTGGTCTAACGTCCACTTCACGTCGCCATCACCACCATCAAATTCATCCGATATCAAATCTTCAAACCTTTTGGATAACTTGATGAAGAAACACTCCTGAAAGATGATCGAAATGAGAATGGACCAACAAATGCATTACCTTTTAGAGAAACAATGAGTGGTGTGTTTCAGAACAACTTACAAACGATAAAACATATTCCGTTCTCAAGATTTCCCTCGCCCAGAAGCTTTCTCACGCTGACTGCGAAAGTGACTGAGAAGTTGTTGTGCCTGTTTCGAGCATGGCGCAAACACGTTACAAACAGCGCAGAAATTATTATATCGTTAATGAAGTCAAAGAAAAGGATCCCTATGTGAAATTAAGTTCCTTTTTGGCACTGAACATAATGAATCATGAATCGATATATGGTTGCAGCAGGGTATCTTTGGCAAACTAAGGCCGTGTTTAGTACATAGGGTAGGACATGGATCATTGTTCCATGTTTGACAGAACTTTTATGAAGAACAAAGTGGAACAGGCGTGTTCCACCTCACCACCCATGGAATAAGGTGGAACAAACCTATATTTTACCAATATAACCTCAAAATAAAACTTAATCTCTTTTAAAACATCAAATACACCTTCTTTTTTACATTTTATTCATACTTTAATTTTATTTATCATATTTTATGCTCTTTAAACTTTCATTTTGATGTCCTCAAGATATTATTTTTATACGGTTTCTATATTTTGATTAATTTATGTAATTTATTAAATATTAATAATAATAAAATAATAATATAGAAAAGATATAAGATAAAAATTGGAAACTACATAAACTTTTTATTTTGTTGTCATTTTAATCGTCTTGACAAAAACCTTCTAATCATATATTTTGTTATAAAAAATATTTATTTTATTAAATTTTAATAAATTACATAATCAATCAAAATATATAAACAACTCATTAGGGTAAATTTGTCATTTTTATCTATCCTGTCATGTCGAGTTCTATCTTACCAAACCCTGAACAGTTGTTCTGTCATGTTCTATCATGTCTGGATACTAAATGTACCCTAACTGATAAAGCTAACTATTGGCTGATAAGCTAAATAATAAAGTAGTAATGTTTAGCAAAAGCTAGCTGACAATGTAAAATGCCTTGAAAGGACATGTTAAAAAATTTATAGGAAAAATATAGGGTTATTTAGCTCATGACCGTCTCCACAAGCGTGTTTTGCAAAATGACCCTCTAGTGTATATCTAAGTTTTTACGAGGACGGGTTGTTTTGAACCACACAGGTTAGATGGATGTCATTGAGCTAAAAAAATTTAGAAGGTCATGGTCGTAATTGGAAACTCATTTAGGGTGTTTATGGTATCCAAACAGGATAAGGCAGAACACATCAGGACAAGACAATAGTTCAACGTTTGGTAGGACAGAACAAATAAAATAACCAATTTACCCTAATAAGATGTTTACAAAACATGACAGGACAGAACAGTTATTTTTTTATTATTATTTAATAAATTACATAAATTAATCAAAATATAGAAACCATATAAAAATAATATTTTGAGAACCGTAAAGTGGAAGTTTAAAAGCTTAAAATACAATAAATACAATTTAAAGAATAAATAAAATGTAAAGAGTGGGGCGTATTTGATGTTTTAGAAAAAGAATTAGGTTTTATTTTGAGGTCATATTGGTAAAATATAGGTATGTTCCACCAATTCCATGGGGTGAGGGTGGAAGACACCTATTCCACTTTGTTCCACCCTATTCCATGCCAAATGCGGAACAGTGATCCTTGTTCTGTTCTATTATGTTCAATGTACTAAATGCACCATTAAGTTCATTTTCCAAAGGACCCAACAATATGAGGGGCATAATTGGAAAAAATGGAAAAGCTCCAAAGACTTTTCCCTCTTTTTTCAATTATTCCCCTTATATTTCTCTAACTAACCTTTCAACACGTACTTTTAGGTCATTTTACATTATCATCTAGCTCATCAGGCTAGTTTTACCAAAGGCAGCTCTAGCTTATCAGCAAACGACTAACTTATCAGCTAGTTTGCCAAAACATAGCCTAAGGCTTGGGGGCCGTTTGGCTGGTTTTCCATCAAGTCCTATATGGATAAAACCGTCTGTGTGGATTAATTTGTCTGTATAGATTGAGAAAGTTTTTGTTTGGGAGTCTTGTCATAGATAGAATGACGTGTTTTTTAATTAGCAGGGGCAGGTTTGAAAAAAACTTGGCTTTCTACATAAAGCGCTCCTTTAGAAGCTTACTGGATAAGCCAATTTCTATATCATTAAGCCACTATCAAAAAGTCATGTATAGCTAACTGAATAAACTGAGTCCCATTAAGCTCATTAAGCTGCTAACAAACGGGCTCTTAGTTCAATTCAACTAGTTTGCATTCACGCAAATGCACATAGAAACAGAGAGCATACCTTCTCCTTGGCTCTTGACGTGCCTGATTGGGACAACGCGACTAGAGGCGGAACCGCGCCTTCTTGCAGAACTAGCCGACAATATTTAGGACTATTAAGACAAAGTTGTAAAAGTATAGAAGCGGCATTCTCCTTTCCCCTTTGAGACCCCGTTTCCACAACCTCAACCAACAACGGGATCCCGCCTTCTCTTGCAATTGCCAAACACCCTTCTGAAATTGTGGACAAATTCGAAAGAAGAGCGACAGATTTGTCAACCATTTGTGTAGCAGGATCCATTAACTCCACAAGATACTTCACGGCCCCCGCCTGAATGATACGCGCTTTATTCTCATGAAATATCGATAAGTTAAATAAGGCAGTTGCAGCGTCTTTTTTCCCTCGAAGGGTACCCGAGCCCAGAAGGTCAACTAAAGGTCTGATTGCTCCAGATTGACCAATCTTGACTCGATATTCTTCTAATAAAGAAAGACTGAATAAAGCTGCCGCTGCATTCTCTTTGGCACAAGTGTTTCCCGTTTCAAGAACAAAGATCAATGGTTCTATGGCGCCTGCTTCAGCAATCATCGACTTTATGTTTCCATTTATGGACAAATTCAAAAGAGCTGTAACCGCGTGTTCTTGAGTCATCTTTGAATTGCTGTGCAACAGTGATAAGAGCGGCTGAATGGCTCCAGATTCTCCTATAATGATGCGGTTCTCCATGTTATGTTTAGCAAGAAACCGCAATTCTGATGCAGCTTTAGTTTGGGTTTCGTTTGACGGGGAGCTGAGATCGTTTACAAGTTGTTGGACGTGGGAAGATGTCGTTAACTCGTTTGGGGAAGAGTTGGATGGAAGAGAAATCGTTCTTGGGTAGTTACGGTTTCCGCCATTGGTGACGATTTCACCCATGCTATTGGAGCTGTGATGTTGTTTTCCGGGCATCCATGGAGAAAACCCTGAAGTTTTACTAGACGGAGAAGATATCTGGCAATCGGAAGCCATTTCTGAAGATAATTCACATAAACGTTCACTGGAAACAGCCGTTGACGTCGATCCACTCCTACTGTGACTACAAGACTCTTCAGGGGACGGATGATTTGACTTTTGAAAGCTCTGTCGGTCAAACCCGTTTTCAACTTCAAATGAAGATCTTGGTGTCAGATGGGTACTCTGTATAGACGGATCAAAATCGCCAACCATTTGAATGAGATCCCGGGAAGTTGAATCTTCAGCTTTATCAGGATGGTCAGAGGCTCTGTTGACTTTTATACGATTTTCATCGCACCAATTTGCTATCAAAGCTTTGACTGTGTAATTGGGAATCAAGTTGGTGTGAGAAAGCGTTTGACGGGTTACTGGGCATCTGATAAGTCCATGATTAAGCCATTTTTGGATAGAATCCCGTTCGTAAGTTTGTCCGGTTGCCACGATCACCGGATCAAACATGAGTTGCAGCGATAAAGGGCAGATGAAATATGAAGGAATTCGAACACCATCAATAGCTTTTAAGCTCTCAAGATTCACCATGGTTTCCCGTATATGAAAAACAAGATCCGCGATGTGATTAATTTGATCGGGTTCGTTGACCTTATCATTCTCCTTTTCCACTGCAATGCTCTCTCTTATCAGTTCTTGGCTTGATGACAAATGAAGCAACTCTATGATTTCTATTAGATGTTCTAGTGGAGGAACCTTTCCTTCACATATGCATTTCAAGGCTTCATCTAACTTTTCCGATGCAATTTCCATCTTCAAACTCTCAAATTCCTCCATACAATGCTGAAAAATGGATGAGATATATAGTCATTCAAGTGATGAATAAAACCAACATTATGAAAAGGGCAAAATGAAACCAACTTTGACTTAAGGGGCTGTTTGGTTGGTTTTCCATCAAGTCCTGTATGGATAAAGGTGTTTGTATGAATTAATTTGTCTATATAAATTGGGAAGGTTTTTGTCTGGGAGGGTTTTTCATAGATGGAAATAGTGTGTTTCATAATTGGGAGGAGCACGTTTGGAAAAAACTTAGCTTTCTGCATAAAGCTCCGTGCAATTTCTATATCATCAAGCCACTACCAAAGAGTCATGTATAGCTGATTGAATAAGCTGTGAGTCCCATTAAGTTCATAAAGCAGCTAACAAACATGCCTTTAGTTCCTATTTAGTGTAACAAAGTTTTTTTTCCCAGTAACGAAGTTTCAAAATTTTCTATTGATGTAACAAGGTTTCAAAATTTCCTATTTTGTACCCATTTTGACCGGTAAAATGCTTATCTTGTGACATCAGATGACGTGGATGTCACGTTCAGAGTCCACTTCGTTGTAACCTTTCGTAAACGGGGTATCCACGTAATCATAGGTCAACACAAAATAGGAAATTTTGAAACTTTGTTAGATCGATTGAGAAAAGAAGCTTCTTCATTGCACTAAATAGAAAATAAACCAAACTTTATTGTATTTTGATGCATTTTGCCCTTGTACGAAAATAGTAAAATCATAAGATTGTTTCTCAGCTTTTGTCAAATTGGACCATTTCGAGTATTAAAGGGGTATTTACTTTTTTTTCCATCAAGTCCTGTATGGGTTAAGTTGTTTGTCTAGATGAATTGGTTGGTACCAGGGATGGGACACCAATGGGTTTGAGGGAGGCAAAGAGAGAGGGTTGGATTATTTCTGGGGGATTTCTGGTATTAATTTGTTGAGGTGGCATAAAGGGACAAGTGAAGGGTCCTGGTTTACTATCTTGTGACATCCTGGTTTAAGCAGTAAAGAAACACTCTTATATAGCTGAGCGAATAAGCCATCTAGATTATTAAGCTCATTAAGCTGTAAGTAAACAACCCCTAAGAAAAAGATCACAACTTCCTGCATACCTGAATATCAGATAAAGTTGAAGTAGAAGTTGAAGAAGATGATGACTCCAATGATCTGTATACAGTTTGACAAATCTTGATCGAATAGCTTTGAATTTTGACGATAACTTGTCTGCTCTGTACAATCTGGAAATAGATTCAAGAAACAAAACAATTAATGTCGTCTTTTTCTTTCTTAATGTTATATCATCTGCCATAAGGGTCAGGTTTAGGGAAAAACCGCAAAAAATGAAAAATTGAGGAACACCTTAGTAATCATTCATCTGTGTAGTATGCACATGTGCAAAGAAGTAATTTGTAAGTAATTTTTCCAATACGCACATGTGCATAGAAACCAAGAAAGATCTTCAATTACTTGTATGTAAATGTGTGCATACCGTACAGATGAATGGTTATTAGGGTGTTCCTTTGTTTTTCATTTTTTTGGGGTTTTGCCCTGAACCTCACTCCCTACCATCAATTGGCAAGAAAGGAGATAGATAAATACACACCCCACAAATCTTGCTCTTGTGAAAACCCCAATTCTCAATGAACTCTCTAGCTTCATTTACAGCTAAATCAAGTTCTTCAAACTCCTTAAACAATATCTCATCCGAATGTATGTGGGCATCATCGATGTTATCAATAATTCCTTTAAAAAGCTTCAGTAAATTTGCAATATCTTTGTATTCCTTCTGGCATGGCAGGTTCTTTGGTACACCAAATGTCACAAGATGAATGAATCGAGAAAAGCTGTTACTTAGACATCTTAACACCTTTTCTACACCCATCTATCCTGCTTATATAGTTAGAAATAATCAAAATCCAATACTTCCAATACACCACATAAGGAAACATATAGAAATTAAGAAACTTTTACTAAGAGAAATAACAACAATCCACAGATATTCACCAATTGAAACGTTAGATTATATATATCTTAATTCGGGGGTAACACGATTGCAGAACCGAAGAACATTTTGAGACTCATCATGAGTTTCTTATAAAATCAAGAGGATGAAAACAAGCAAATTTTGTGATGCCCACAAGAACTAATCCTATCAAGCTACAAACCTATGAAATTCGAACAAAAAGAACATATATAACTTACGTAAATTGTGACAGAAATTCTCATAATTATATCTCAAACTCCCATGGTTCAACTCATACTAGATGGAGCTTTGGGCATGGATCAGACAATTGGTCGAACAAATGGAGTGCAACAAAACATGTCACGATCCTGGGAGTTCTAAGGAGACCAAATTCATCGTACGAGAACCAAAACACAAACCTCTTTCAATCAATCATGAATTGATGCCATGTTTCAAAATCAAAGGTTCGAAATTCACGAACCCACTTTGCAACTATGCTGACATCGCAAAATTCACACAAACCCACAAAAAAATTAAAGCAAAAACGAACCAAACAAACGGATTTCCATCATGTTCTATTGAACATCCATGGAATTATTGTTTCAAACAACATGAAATAATTTAGTAATACATAAAACGACAAAAACCATTGAAGATATCTGGAAAAAGATTGGAAACAAACCTAAATATTCGTAGTCGTTGGAGTAAATACCGATAACATAAACAGATCTGGATCAAACCCACAAAAGGAATAAGGTTTTAAGATGAAATTTCCATCTGGGTATATGAATTTTCGCCACACTTGGCAGAGTGATTCATGACATGAGGATGGAAGAGAAGAAGGAGAAAGGGGTTAAATTGGTGGGTCAATATAGTTGCAGGGTTTGTTGGCGATTTAATTGAATATTGATTTGGTGCTAATTTGAATCAATTAATTATGCTCAAATCAATGATTAAAGGAACCAAAAAGTTTGAAATCTTTATATCTTAAATATAAGTAAGAAATCCACATCCAACAGCATTCAACCTGAACATCAATTTTTCAACTTTGAAATGAATTTTCATCTTTGAAATGTTGTTAAGCTTTTAAAATGTATAAAGTCAACCATTTCTGTATTAAATAAGCTCTTAATTTGGCATTTAAATAATTGTTCATATTTTCATCTTAAACAAATAAGCGTTTACTTTTAAAAGCAACTATTTACTTTCTAATTCTATCTTTAGTTAAGTGATCAGTGGTTGATCCAAGATTTTCGTTGTTTTTAAGTGGATAAAAGTCTCGCAAGGTCGTCTGAAGTGCATTAGCAGAATTCCACTGTTTTCGATGGATTTTTTTTAAGGTTTTTGATTGATTTGGGAAGGGAAAATTGTACCAAAATGAAACCAACTTTCACCTGATTCTTACTTTGGATGACCAACTTTCAAAATTGTCATTTAAGGGTCTCTATCAACTTTTTGTTTATTTAAGGGTCTGGTTGATCTGCTAATGCTGATATCATCCAGATCTTTTGCTAACTAAGAATATCCATGTCATATTAATTTTTTATTTTAAAACTAATATCTCACGTCATATTTAAAATTGCAAAATAATTATAAAAAAATAACTAAAATTCGTTTTTTTTTCAAAAAATATTGTAATAAAATCTATTTTTCATTCCAAATCTCATTTTTTTTTAAAAAAATTCAGATATCAAATTGAAGATTTTTTTCAAAAATGGACTTCTTTACTCACAATTTGATATCTGAATTTTAAAAAAAAAACGAGATTTAGAATGAAAAATAGATTTTATTACAATAATTTTTGAAAATAAATTTATTTTGCAATTTTAAATATGACGTAGAATATTAGTTTTAAAATAAAAAATTAATATGACATGAAATATTAGTTTCAAAATAAAAATTAATATGACGTGGAATATCTTAGTTGACTAAAGATCTGAATGATGTCGGAAACTCGGAATTAACAGGTCAACATGTCAACTAGACCCTTAAATAAACAAAAAGTTTGATAGAAACCCATAAATGACAATGTTGAAAGTTGGTTCCCCAAAATAGGAATCAGGTGAAAGTTAGTTCCATTTTTTATACAATTTTCCCATTTGGGAAACTTTTTACATTTCTTTTTGGTTGATTTTAAGAGACTTTTTCGGTTTTTGGTTGATTTCAATAGACTTTTTCGGTTTTTTGGTTGACGTCCCTTGTATTTTTCAACATTCAAGAACATCCTTCACAGTTTAGCATGAACATTTATTTTGAGACAATATAAGTATTGTTTTGTAAATCGTGATATTCTAAGTTGTATATGCTTAATTTTGTTTATGAGAGATTGATGATAACAAAACACCGTTCAAGAATATTATAATTTTAATACAACAACCATCGTCGAATTATTTAGGCGGAAACATTCTAGATATCAAGTTTTATCTTTTTAGGTTTGTTATAAATACTGATAATTGATATTTTTGTTTAGTTGATATAAGAGATATGGATCAACGGAAATAAATACTATACATTGGCTCTGATCCTTGAAATATAATTAAACTGGTAGATCATAAAGATTTTGAAACCAGAGTAGGTTTAATTAGCACCAAAAATGTTTTAAGAGTGAAAAAAAAACGTACCCTTTGAGCAAACCAGAGACTTATGAATGTATAACAGAGATTCTAATCATCACGAATAAACTTGATGATACGGAGGCTCTATATAGTACATACAGAGGCTCTGGGTCATGGAATTCCAACTCTCCCCCTTTGAATGATGCGCTTGGTTTTCCTCCTCTTTAAACTATGCTTAGATCAAAAGATGATAAGATGTGCACGGGCAATAGTTCAAGGTACAGATGCTCTGTATAGTAGATACAGAGGCTCTATACATTGAAAAAGCATACTTGGTGTAGAAACGAGGTCTCGGGTCTCTATAACCGGTGATATGACATAAAAGTAGAAATACCACCATAAGATTAATAGTTAGATCAATCAAGAGTTGTGACGATATGTATTTCTGAGTAAAGTAAAAGTCGAGTAACGAAGTTTAGAACCGAGGAATCTTTTGGCAATAAATGCAGTGGAAAGGGAAGAGGAAAACGACTACTCTTTTGCTAAAAAAAAACATATTGTAGGCAATAAAATAACTGGTATAACCATAACATAGCTTCCATATCGACAACGGCAAATGGCAAACCGTCCAAAAATATCCATGCATTTCCATCACATATTTTATTATTTCAAGAGACTCGGACTCATTAATGCGTGTGCTTTTCTTTTCTTTCAAACCAATATTAATTGGTTTCGTCTTCAACTTTTCATCTAATACTCACAGACTACAGACAAAGACACAAAGTAAAAACGACTTGAAGCTTTTAAGAACAAAAAGCGATAGAAACCGATTGGTCCTAATTTGGTCGATTTTAACCGCTTTTAGAAAAGAAATTACAACTGATAACTAAACTAGATAAAAGGTATTTTATTTTTGAACCATTTTAGTTTTAATGATTGAAGCAGTTTTTTATGTCCTTAGTTTTATAGGTGATATTGTGTATATAGAGAGTTGGTTCACGTAAAAGTTTTTCATTTTAGTAAAAATAAGTGATTTACTCGGTGCTCATGGGTTGGATTGGTCGGGTTGAAGACATTTGAACAATCCAATCCAATGCTTGCGATTTGAAAAATCTTAACCCAACCCAACCCAAACCGTACGGGTTGGTCGGGTTGATACTTTGGTACATTAAAGTACTCTTTTAACCTTGAGTATGTTATTTATCTACTCATAATTTATTTTTCATCATCAACCATTTGATACAACTTATCCATACTTCTTAAATCTTACGTATATCACATTCAATTAATTTTCTCAATTTACATATATATGTTCATAGTTACTGAACATATATACGAATTAGTTATGCAGAGATGGATAATAGATTGAAAATATGTGTATATGAAAATGATATGTGATAGTGTAATTATCTAACGTATATATTAATAAAAACTCCACAATCATATTAAATCCAAGAAATACAATGATATCGGGTTCATCAGGTTGGGTTATGTTCAAATAATAGTAACCCAGTTTCAACCCGATACATACGGTTTGAAAATTTTACAACTCGATTAGGCATTGAGTTGCTTCAGGTTGAATTATTTTGTGTTGGGTTTAATTTGAGTTGATCGGGTTTTTGAGCACCCCTACCCTTGTATTATGTAAAACTATGTCGTAATAATTATAAATGTACTTTTATATTGTGTGAAAATTACATGATATAAATATTTTGATTTATGCATAATAAGTTCAGGTTCAGGTTCACATGAGAACCATACAAAAAATGGGTATCGTGAAAACTCGTATATTTATTAATGCATTTACATTATCAAATATGTATTCAACTAATAAATATATTTCTTAATACATATCTGCTATTAAAGAAAAAGAACCGAATTACCATGAAAACACAGATGGAGAAAAAATATAAATGAATATCAAATTAAAGATAATAAAGTAATCACTTTTTGTATAATTTGTTTTAGGGAAAAGTACAATAAAAACCAGTGAACTTTCTTGTTTGGAATGATTAAGTCCTTAGACTTTTATCGTTCAAAATATGAATGTTCATTGGGGTTTTTTCCTAATTTTTTTTTTCACTATTTTACCACTTTAACTAGTTGTACAAGTCATAAGAATGTATCCAACATGTTTTATAAAAGTTTAAGAAGTTATTTAACTTGTTTTAGATTGTTCAAGGACTTATATGTTGCAAAAATTGTCCAATGACTTATTTAACATTTTTTGGAATGTCCAATGACTTATTTGTTCCAAAAATTGTCCAAAGACTTATTTAACATATTTTGGAATGTCCAAGGACTTATTTGTTCTAAAAAATTGTCTAAGAACTTATTTAACATATTTTGGAATGTCCAAGGACTTATTTGTTCCAAAAAAAAGTCCAAGGACTTAATCATTCCAAACAAAAAAGTCCATTGGTTTTTATTGTACTTTTCCCTTTGTTTTACTTCAATTCTTTTTTATGTTTCGTTGATTTTTGATTTAATATTAAGGGGAAATAGTTGTATTTTTAAGAAAGATGGTTATAATCATTTTTCAATCACATCTGTTGGATCATGTGAATCCAACGGTTTGGATGAGTAATTGGGTTCTTTCTTTTTTCAAAGTTCTCTCCTATCTCTTTTTAGGATGAACATTCAGTCTTATAACATTTACATAGTTGATACAAAATTAGGTCAACCCACATACGTTCTGTTGGAATTGGGTCAGAGTTATTTGAATCCAACTCCACCTGATTAATCTGATGCCTTTTTATAATATGGATTTTATATGATTCTTTAGGGTTATATTGAAAATTATATTACAATTTCAAACGTAATTTTACTTTCAAATATGCATGAACCCTCAACTTTCTTTTTTAAGTTTGTCGGTCTTTTTATATATTATCATTTTAATTTATTTCATTTACATATAAATACCTAGCTAGATTGTAAAAGGACAAATTGCATGAAAAAAGTAACGTACTTTAACTTAATTCCTATTTTGGGTAACGTACTTTTAAAACTTTCATTTTGGTATCTAATATGTAAAGTTTTAAATATTTAAGTATCCGAGTAACATGTTGAAGCATTAAATGGAAATGTGGCTAGTGATGTGATATCCAACTCAGTATTATTTGCTATTCAACTCAATTTCATTTCATCACTCGTTACATCAACATGGTAACCGCCTAACCGGTTAATGTTTCAACCGGTTACCTGGGTACTTAAATGTTTAAAACTTTACATCTTAAGTACTAAAATTAAAATTTTAAAAGTACGTTATTCAAAATAAAAATCAGACTAAAATACGTTATTTTTTCATGCAATTTGTTCGTGGTAAAATGAAGTAACAAAATATCTTCGATCAAACTAACCCATTTCAAGAGAATAAAAAATCTTAATAATACTGCTTTTTGGTTAAAAGGAAAAACAGTATTGTATTCACATATGGTGGCGGAGACCGACAACACACCATTTGATCCACCACAATCGACGGCCTGCAAATAAACCGCCACACCTCTCTCCCTCTTTATATATCTCTCTCTCTCTCAAGCTCTCGTCACACACACCATTTTCACACTGTCAAACTCTTACAGGGCTTGGGTTTTCTTTCGATTTTGATTTTCATCACAGAAAGCCATGGACAAACTCGATAAATTGAAACTGGCATCATCTTCTTTCGGCGAGCGATTGATGACCGGAGGTGTTCAGATGAGTCGTTTGGTAGGCACGAAGATGAAGGAGATTTTACAAGCTCCAACGCCTGAGTCAAAAATTGTCGACGAAGCGACGCTAGAGACGATGGAGGAGCCAAATTGGGGGTTAAACTTAAGAATCTGTGGTATGATTAATAACGAGGAGTTTAATGGTACAGAGATCGTGAAGGCGATTAAGAAGAAGATTGGTTCAAGTAAGAACGTGATTAGTCAGAGGCTGAGCCTTGATTTGTTGGAAACGTGTACGTCTAACTGTGATAAGGTTTTCTCGGAGGTGGCGTCGGAGAAGGTGCTGGACGATATGGTTGGGATGATTCAGGATGATCGGACCGATGAACGGAATAGGAGGAAGGCGGTGCAGTTGATTAGATCGTGGGGTGAGTCTGAGGAGCTCATGTATTTGCCTGTTTTCCGGCAAACTCACTTGGTGAACCATCTTTCTTTTATCTCTTTCATCACTTTATTGTTTTTAGCTTTTATGTCTATACCGATTAGTTAGCATTTGGTACACCATGACGGACAGCGTTTGGTGAACAGACAAGATTGGACTTTACATGACAGTTAGTGTTTGGTGCACCAACAGGATTGGTCTGAACATATGACAGTTAGCAGTTAGCAGTTAGCCCAGTTAGCCCGGTTAGCCCGGTTAGCCCAGTTAGCGTTTGGTACACAGACAAGATTGAACAGTACACGGCAAGATTGGATTGGACTAGACAAGAGGGCAGGACAAGGACTATGATTGGACTATAGATGGCAGAACGAGATAGGACAAGATGACAGGACCATAGATGATAGAACTACACAGGACAAATGGCGGGACTAGGAGTATGATTTGACCACCAGATGACCGTACAGGACAAGAGGGCAAGACTAGGACTATGATTGGATCGTAGAGGACAAAACAAGACAACACAAGGGGGCAGGACTAGGATTGGACCGTACATGACATAACTGGACAAGACAAGATGGTAGGACTAGGATTGGACCGTACATGACAAGATTGGATGGAACAAGAGGGATGGAACAAGAGGGCCAGACTAGGACTAGGACCGGACTATACATGATAGAACTGTACAGGACAACAAGGTAGGATTGGCATGACACTATAAAAGTTAAGAAGTTAAAAGATTTGATATAATATGCAGCTTTATTTGCAAAAGATTTCATCTTTTTGTTTGACCTTATGGAATATGGGATGATGAAATCATGATGTTGGATGTTATGGCCATACATGAAAGAGTGGTATGGTAGGGGAGGTATAGAATCCTACATGTACTTACATCTTATGTTTGTTAAGTATGTATGGATAGATATGTAAAACGATTCCACTTTTTTGTCCTGTGTTGTAATTAGGAGCTTGTTTTTGTTTTCTTATAGGGTGTGTATGATACACCGACAGGGCTGGATTGGACGGATTAAAGTGAGGCAGGCAGGTGAACGAATTGCGGAGGGTTTTAGGGTTTTCATTTGACATGGGTTGTTTGGTAATTTACCAATCTTGTCTCTTCTCCCTAGCTTCTTTTTTGGGTAACGTGGGTGTCCTTGCTAGTTTACCCGCACCTTGACTAATCCCATGGAACCTGGAGAATAGCTAGGAAAAATCCCTAGTGGCCTTGGAAAAAATGCAGTCTCAGTTTGATGATTCTCAGTCTGACGTCGTGCCAAATGTGAGACAAGTTTTTGTACTACCCTGTCCCGCATACCGCACAGTTTCATACGGTGTTCATCTAGGAAGTATGTGAGGGTAGATACAAGAATTCGAATTCGACCCGTGTGTCTTTGTGCCGTAGTTATGAGCTTGTTTTTGTTCTTTTTTGCATTTGGTTTGCTGGACTGGACAGAACAAATATTTGTTGTCTAACGTTTGGCGTGACAGTTAGACTAGGACGGGACGAAATTGAGTGACCAAAATAGGTGGAAGAAAAGTCAAGGAGATGAGACAAGATAGTTAAATTACTAAACTACCTATGTCAATTCAAAACCTTTCACAATTCTTTCACTTGTCTAAAACACCCTCGCCAGTCCTTTCTGTGTACCACAGTTTCATACGTGCCGTGTATATGTGTTCGTCTAGGGACAATTAGTTCATGCATTCTGCCTGCAAGTTCTTGAAGTTGAAGGATTAACAAACCAATTGGGCCACCTGACCAGCTGCTACACCATGACCATCTGGGTACCCAACTAAAAACATCATCAATCAGGCCACTCATCTGTCTTCTCGGAAGTAGGAGTCATATCGCTTGCTGATTCTCTCATTTCAGGTGATTGGGAAAAGGTGGCGCTTTTAAGCTTTAGGGATGAATTTATACGAATAAAGTGTTCCCATATAAAGAGAGAACAGAGATGACTCGAATCTTAGGACAATATAAATGAAGGAAACAACTGCTGTACTCTTTGAGGTAGAGGTCAGGTGTGTGTAAAATTCTTGACATGTGTGGGCATAGTGACTATCTCTTATATGCCTTTCTTCTCTCTTCAATCCCCTTACCCTGCATTGTATTTTGTAGTGTTATTGAGAAAGGGTCCAAGCATCTCTTACCTATCCCTCCATCCCACAATAATTGCAACTTTTGGCCCTACCATTCAATGAATTAGTCAAATATTAGCAAAATACTGAGAGTAATTGTTGTATGATAAGCTAGCTGTTAGTTGATAAACCAGTTGACAATGTAAAATTACCTAAAATGCTACGGATTTTGGTCTGCTTTTTTATTTTTTGGATAAGCTTCGGTATCGGAGCCAGTTTATGTTCACCAACTAATCCCCTGGTGACCACAAATGTCTTGGAGTCATTGCAGGTGAACCTCCATGGCCAAAAGGACTTTGGCAGCGCCTGAATTTGAACCCAAGGAGATTTTGGTCATTTTTGTAACATATAAAGGTTATAATAAGAAAAAAGTGAAAAAAAGCCTCCGGAGCTTATTGAAACATTAAGCTTTTTGCTAATAGAAGTATGCATTTATGTTGCAGAATCTGAAGACCAACCGGATACCTGCAGGACCACAGGGAGGAAACTCGAGTCCTTTGTATGAAACAATGGAGTCTCTGGTTTATCAACAACCTCTTTCACCACGCCCATTGCCTGATATGGATTTAATGGGCATAGAAGATGATATCTCTCCATATGGTTATGGTGGCCAATCTGTGGAACAGAAGAAAGAATTGTTGGTGGTTAGCCGAAACAGTCTTGACCTTCTATCGAGCATACTTGATTCAGGCATGGAGCCAATACCAATTAACGTAAGTCTTTTGACGGTATTTTGGAAGTAATGTGTAGGTTGGGGTAGATGACAGGTGTTACACATCTCACCCCGACTGACGATGCCATCTCTGAGTGAGATTTACTGGGTTTGTTTGGTTTGGTTTTATCTGAGTCCCTACCTCTGAGTGGGAAACAATCTCTCTACCTCTTGGGGTTAGACCTTTCCTCTCACTTCAATGAAATTGGCTTTATAGGACGCTAAATATATTTGAATGTCATAGTAGACTGCTTTAATGACTTCGGCTTTTAGGACCATACAATTGTGTGTGCTATGTAGAAGTGTTACAATAAATTGAAAAGACGTTTTGGGCTTCCTAACAAGTTATGTAATATGTTTTTAAAATAAAGTGTCATATTAGTTTTTCTATATGAAAGAATCTTTATATAAGACACTTTTTCAATTAATGTTATATAAAAAGACTAATAAGACATTTTATTTCAAAAATGTCCTCAATAACTTGTTAGAACGCTCGAAAGTGTCATATCAACTTATTGCAACATGCACAATTTTTTGGTACTATAAACTTAAGTCCTACAACACTGTCTATTAAGACATTTTGACATATTTTGCATCCAATAAAAGCCGACATGTTTATAGTTTCTACGTTGGATTTACTGGGTTTTTTCGGTTTTTTATTAGCGTAAAGAATCATAGTATACCCGTTGCATTGAAAACGAAGTTTATGTGAATGGCAATGTATCTAGAAACCATACTAATCTGCAGCACACGATTGCAGGACGAGTTAACGGTGAGCATGTTGGAAAAGTGCAAGGAATCGCTGCCTTTGGTTCAGCGAATAGCGGAAACTACAACCGACGATGATATCCTTCTCTTCGAAGCCTTGAATCTACACGACGAGCTTGAACAATTGATCTCACGATGTGCAGAAATCAAATCAACCGTTGGATCTGACACATTAAAGATTCACGATGTCAAATCTACAGACACCATTCAATCTCCAGAAAATGGAACCATCAACGCAGGGGGAAGTGGTCCGATCGAAGTGAAAGCAGGAAGTGGAAGTGTAGTAAATCAGAAAGATGAGAATTTGGAGCAGAAACAAAGTGTTTGAAATATTTCCTGTTGGTATTTATTGCAGGTAATAATGAATAATGTGTAGACTTGAATAACTATTCTCTGTAGTTAGTATGGATATTTTCTAATTAGTAATGTTTTTTTTCTTGGGAATTCTAATATTGTGTTTAGAAATACTGATGTTATGTGGAATCCCGTTAGATTACTCTTTCAAAAGAGCTTTGAAATGAACTGGTTCAAAGTGTAGATGGTGTGAGACTCGTAACATATCTGTATTTGCTTGATGTGTTTTTGTAAGATCAGATCGATGGTCTGGTGGTACTAGGTTATTGGTTGTTAAAGAGTCGTTGAAAAGAAATGATTCAAATCTAGCTGATGTTGGATTGTAATATACATGTATCTGTTTGGTGTTGTGTTTTTGTACGATTAAGTTTGGGTCCGTTTATTAGCAGCTTAATGAGCTAAATGGATTCATAGCTTATTCGGTCAGCTATATATGTTTGTTTGATATTGGTTTAATGATATATAGAAAGTGACTTATTAATAAGCTTTTAGGGGAGTTTTATGCGGAAAGACGTTTTTTTTTTCTTTCTAAACTTGTCCTCTCAATCCAAAAAGAGAGAGAATGAATTCTTTCAAACAAAAACTTTCACAATATATACAGACAAATTAATACACACATACGGTTTTAAAACCAACCAAAGAGCGTCTTAATGGTGCAACAGGTATCTGGGTTGCCGAATATGTGGAACCCCGTTATATTACTTTTCAAAAGAACTCTTGAGAAGAAATAGTTCATTTTAGCTGGTGTGGGACTCTAGTTTATTTGTTTGATATTGTCTTTGTAAGATCAGATTAACTGTCCATTGGTATATGGGTTATCAAATATGTGTGATTCTATTAGATTATTTTTCAAAAGAATCTTTAAAGAAAAATGGTTTAAGTTTAGCTGATATAAAACTCTAACATATATGTATCTATCCGTTTGATGTCGGGTTTTTTATAAGACCAGATTAATGATTAAATGGTATATGGGTTATCGATACATTCCAAAATAAATGTGGGGGATGGGAAGAAAGGGCAGTTTGGTGATGGATAAATACATTGAATACAAGCTGTCAATGCCTTTTTGCATTTACTTCCTTCATATCTTTCCAAATTCATGCCAAAAGAACTTTCAATTCTTGAGGTTCCGAGATACATGTGAACATTAAAAGTGCATTTGATGATTTGATCTAATGGTATCGTAGTCTTTGACTTTTTAAGAGATCAGAGATTCAAACTTCATCATAGATAAGAAGAGTGTGTGAGTTTATTTTTTACATTTGTCGTATATAAATATTATATACTTCCAAGAAAAAGACACATTAAAACATTTTCTTTATAATTTATTTTAAATAAAGAAATAATAATCAAGATCTTCGAGAAAGAATAACAATTAACTTTGTGGGATCAGTTCAACTGATTAATAAAACTCGGGTTTTTGGGATCTTTTTTAGAGGTCACTGGTTCGAGTCTTGTAAGGCTACTGTAGCTTTTTCTTGCTGTTATTCATGACCAATGGGATTAGTCAATGTACGTGTAAGAGGACCCGCACATCCATGGTTAACAAAAAAGAGAACATTTATTTCAACAAATTTTATTTTGAGATTTTAGTAATAATTGTATTTATCGAAACACTTAACGTACCTAATATTCTAACAGATATTGAAACAAAATACAGTATATGACCTAGTAGTATTTGGGTTATCAGTAGAATTTAACCTTCTATGAGGTCAGGTATTTAAACTATTATAAAAAACAAGAAAGATGTAAGTTCAATTATCATATATATTAGACCAAATTTCATGAAAAAATAACGTACTTTAACTTGATTCTTATTTTGTGTAACGCGCTTTCAAAACTTCCATTTTGTTATCTAAGATGTAATGTTTTAAACACTCAAGTACCCGGGTAATCTGTTGAAGCATTAATCGGTTACCATGCTGATGTAGCGAGTGATGTGGTATCCAACTCAGTATTATTTATTGATATGAATATCTTAATCTAAAATTAGTTTTTTTTTATATATATGTGTTATTTTATGATAATCGGTTACCCGAGTATTTAAATGTTTAAAACTTTACATCTTAGATACCAAACTGAAAGTTTTGAAATACATTACCCAAAATAAAAATCAAGTTAAAGTAATTTGCCCTATATATTAATATTATATATTTAAAGAAATGTTACATATTTTATTAATAACCTTTGCAAATTAATGTGAAGGAAGTAAAGAGAACAATCAATGCATGTTCTTTCTCTCCAAAATTAATTTTAAAGATTTCTTTAAATATAAATAATTCTTTTTGCTTAATATTTTATTTTAGGACTTGCCTCAATATTTTTCATTTTTTGTTTAAATTTGGTTCCTAATTTTTTGAAATATTCAACGAATATCTTATTTAAACTTTAAAAACTTGGATTTGATCTTTTACGTTTATTAATTTTCAGCGATTTTGATCTGTCTGTTTAATGATTGTTAACTGTTTTCATTAATTTCAGTTAAATGAGGGGTATTTTAGTCAATTTTTCAATATCTTCTTAATTTTATATCAAAACTAAAAAAACATATATAATATCTTTTGAAGTATATAATATTTATATATAACAATTTCAACAAATAAACTTACATACTCTCTAACCTTTGGTGAGGTTTGAACCCCTGACCTTGTAGGAGGCCAGAAACTACGATACCGCTAGATAAAAACCCTTTAATAACATATATAATATTTGGTGGCAATAGGTTTTAGGATACGTAGATTGAATTGGGGGGAGGGGAGTTCTTTTTACAATTTAAATTTTAAAATATAATATGTTCTTTTATTTTAATATAAAATTAAAAATAGTAAAAATTATTAAAATAATTCTTATTTAACTGGATTTAATAAAAAAATATTAATGATCAGTAGATAGAGGGATCAAAAGCGTTATAAACTAATAACGTAAGGGATTAAATACGAGTTTTTAAAGTTTATGGACGATATTCATTTAAAACTACAAATCGTTAGGAAGCAAAATTGAACTTTACACTTTAAAATAATATAAAACTCTGTTAAAATTTGTATTTTTTTTTCCAACTATCTTTTTGAGTCTTACAAAAGTAGAATGCATACCTTTGTACGTACAATAGATTTTTAGGGGTTGTTTGTTAACTTCTTAACAGTAGTTTCATTAAAAAACAATATCTGAATCGTTAAAATATGAATCTTGTTTGACAAAATTTTTTGTCTCTTAATGGTTTAAAACCTTCAAAATAATTTTGTATCTTAGCTCTCCCTTAACCATTAAGCACCCTAATTTCATTCTGAACAATTAGCAAACAATCATATTTCATTTTGCACTATATCCTAGGAACATCTTAATCATTATGACCACTTAATAATTTTGCACCAAATCACTCAATAACTACCAAACAACCCCTTAGATATCATAATAGAATCTCCACAAAGAAAATAAAAATATTTAAATATTTAATTTTTATTTATTTATAAAACTTGGTTTTAACAGAAATTTCAAATTACAATAATAATCTGGTATGAAAGAGTTTATATATATATATATATATATATATAAAGAGAGAGAGAGAGGTCCATTTAATGGAGAATTGGTTAGTTTATGATAACAGTAAGATCCAATCTCAACCACAAATCAATGGATAAATTAGAAAACTAATATTTTTGATAATTTGACTTAAATTTTTAATTAATAGGCATTTTAGATATTTAAATTTTTATATCTTTCCTCTGTCTCTTTCTCCTACTTCTGATAAACCTTATTTTGGCGAACACCATGTGATATCCAAAATACACCAAGATATATAATGTGATACCCAAAATACATACAATATGATATCCAAAACACACAAAGTAAACTTCAAGACCACTATGATATTAACTGTGGTACCATTGTGATACCAAGAGTAGTACCAATATGATATGTATGTTGTATATAGTAGATGTAGATGGGTGGTCAGTAGCAGGGATGTGCGAAGGGAGATGGTCGTCGGAAATGGCGTCTTGGTCGGACAAGATGACCGGAGGAGGCCAACGGATTTTGGTCCTTGTGTGGGTATATATATTAAATAAAGTAATTAATCTAATTAAAGTAAATTAGAATATTAAACTAAAATAGTAAATTACCCTTCTATCTTATTTTAAGAAAAATATTAATTATCTTAAATGATTGGCTTGCGTTGGATCTCACAGTTACCACAAACTAATTAGTTCTCATTTAATTAGGCATATATATATATGGAGAGAGAGAGTTGGGTTCATGTAAGATCAATTTGTTTTCATGAGACTAATTTTTTACACTTGAAACTTCACAACAAAAAACGTTGTAAAAAGCCGAACCTTTACAACAAAAACATTGTGAAGAAAAACGAAAAGAGACTGGTCTCATATGATCACAAGTCAATATATATATATATATATAGAGAGAGAGAGAGAGAGAGAGAGTTTGTTTCAAATACAACCCKTCGCATTTGTACAACCAATGCAATCTAATAAATTGAAATATTTATGGAAATGATGAAAGTTCATTTATTATGATTTGAATATTTATGGAAGATGAATATGGTTAATTAATTATGATCAATACTTTATATTAGGAAACAATCAAAACTTTTATGAAATCACATATTAATCAAATAAAATGGACGGTTGAGATTGAGTTGTATTGGTTGCACAAATATCAAGAGTTGTATAATAACCAACCTCTATATATATAACTTTATTTGACTTTTGATTGGGTTAGATGGAATCAAGAGACAAAGCTCGTAACTTCCATTTAAAGAACTACGAAAATGAGTATTCATGTCGTTTTGAGAACTTGAGGTTACGTGCGTAATTACAAACATCGTCCTATTAGACTACTCTCTACATTTGACTTTTAACTCTTTGTCTTTATTAATTTTGACTTTGACATCACTCAATACTTTGACTTTTTCGATTTTTGCAAGTTAACCATATATTTTTATATTTAGTAACAACCATCATCTTAAAACACACAATGGGTACCATTGTATAAATGATCAAAATATAATTTAAATGCGGTTCAAACGAGAACAATAATCAAATAAGAAAATATGAAAAATCGAAATAAACGCACACTATCATGTGATTATTGTACACTAACAGTTAACGCAAAGGTGTGCGGATGGCATGTCACGTAAATCACGTGTGGTTCAACTGTTTCTTGTTCTCTTATTTGGTTACTATTCTCATATGAACCTGACACACTTTCTCTCTCTCTCTCTCTCTCTCTATATATATATATATATAACAAAGGAAATATATAAATTGACAACATTTTTATTTTACGAAAATGTAGCAATACCTTAGTATATGTCACATTTGATACACATGTGATATTGAATTAGAGAAACAGACGACACTTCATGCGACCATTAGATAGGGACAAATCCAATTCAGTGTCATCGTAATATCCCTCCATCGAAAGGTAAGAAAAGATTAGGTTCGTGAAAGATGCAACCGTCTCGATTTGTTGTGTGCTACCATATATATGTTCAAACTACAATAAAAGCACAAAATTTTCTAGGTAGAGTTGGTTTGCAAGGTTTTTTTTTTTCCTTCCTTCCAAACCTGAGTTCGAATCCCATTAGTGTTATTTTCTTAATTTTTAGCTTTTAATTTCAAATTTATTATTCTTTAAAAAAAAATTACAATAAAAGACTTGAACACAAGATATCACACATGGAAAACATTATAATAAAAGACTTGGACACAAGATCTCATATATGAAAAACATTGAATAACCAACAGACAAATTATGATGTGAAAATATCCCGATATTTGTTTCTTATAATCAAATGGTGCCTCCATTTGAAAAAAAAACTTCTACGCCCGTCCCCACCAGGGTGTAAACAAGTCGAGCTTTTAACGAGCTACTCAAACCGTTCATCTTGAGCTCGAGTTTTAATAATTATCGAGCTCGATTGGATCTCGAACACAAAATAAAATTGTCTAACTTAACAAATTGAGCTCCATAACACCAATATTAGACTCGGCTTGTTCAAAAGCTCGATTAAACGTTAAGAGTCGAGTGGAGCCAAACCATTCAAGCATACACTCTTTCGAGCAAATCATATATATATATTTATATGATTACAAATTATATAATCAAAATATAAAAATCATCGAGTTTGAGCAAATAAACGAGCATCGAGCTCGAGCCCAAACATTGAAAATTTATATGAGCTCGAGCCCGACTTTGAAAAAGTGAATCGAGCTCAAGTCGAACTCTAACCCGATGTTAGTTTTTCGAGCCAAACTCAAATAAGTTACAACGTACTCGACTCATTTACAACCTAACCCATTAAACCAAATCCCATCAAATATATTATCATATATGACAAGGGTTTTTGTAACGATATTTATATGAAAATAAAAAAAATAATAAAAATATGAACGTCGTTTTATCTAAATTTAGAGAACACACCATTTTAAGCTTTCATCCACCACATACCTTTTGCACCCACAAACGATTGGCTTTTAGTTTATATGGCCAATCCTACTACCACCTCACGCGCCACCATCCACTCCGCCGCCAAGCGCCGAAGACTTTCCGATGACCACCATCACTCTCTCCTACCAGGGCTGCCGGATCATGTAGCTCACCTATGCCTCTCTCTCATCTCTCCCACAGCCATGTTTTCCGTTTGCCGTTCATGGCGCCGGCTCATCTACTCCTCCTACTTTCCACCTTTCCCATCACTTTACACCCTTTCGCTGCCCACAACCACCGCCGCCGGCCGCCATAACCAAACGCTAAAACTCTCTTCCTTTGATCCCATCTCTTCTAAATGGATTACCATCGATTCTCCACCGGTACCACCCTCTCTACACCGTCATCCGTCGTTCATTTCCCGGAATTTACCCATTCAATCCCTCTCCGTCTCCGGCAACCTCCTTCTCCTCGCCGCCACCTCCGGCCACCTCCTTCCCGCCTTTTCACATCCTTTAATCTTCAACCCATTAACTGACACGTGGTCATCCGGTCCACCACTCTCAACCCCACGACGATGGTGCGCCGCCGGAGCTTTACAAGGAACGGTGGTCGTCGCTAGCGGAATCGGTTCGCACTACACCCAGACGGTGGCTCGCTCCGTCGAGAAATGGGTTTTTTTTAAAGCAGAATCTTTCGATAAAAAACGTAAAGATTCCGATTGGAATAACTGGGAAAAGATGCGATCTTTGAGAAACGTGAAGCTTTGTAGGGAAGCCATTGATGCCGTTGGATGGAAAAGGAAGCTTTGTATGGTGAACGTGAAAGGTGATTACGCGAAAGAAGGGTTTGTATACGCCATGGACTCCGACGAGTGGGTGGAGATGCCGGAAGGGATGTTGGGTGGTTGGAGAGGGCCGGCAGCGGCGATGGATGAAGAGACGTTGTATGTGGTGGATGAATCAAAAGGAGTATTGAAAAGATACGATGAGAATGGGGATCAGTGGTCGGAAGTTATGGCAGATGAACGGCTGAAAGGGGCGGAGTACATTGCCGCCGGTGGTGGTCGAGTGTGTGTTTTATGTGAAAAGGACGTCGGAATTTTAGTGGTGGATGTGGTGGCCACGCCGCCGCGGTTGTGGGTCCTTGAAACACCTGCAGGAGATCGAATCTTGGCGGTTCATATTTTGCCGAGGATGTGCTTGCCGGAGTTCCGATCGGCGGTGGGATCAGAATCCAAATAATAGCTTTTTGATCACAAGATTATTTAATTTATTATATATATATATATATATATATATTCATTTCAGACTTCAATCATTGTTTGTGGCATGAGATCATGCACCACTGGATTCTTACGTAGTAATTTTGTATCAAACCAAACTGTACTGTTTTTATAACATGTGATATTGTATAATAAAATAAGAAAAATAACAGAGAATATTAAAATAAAAATATATATAAATAATATTTTATTAAATGTATAGAATAATATAGAATTATAAAAATAAAGTAGCTGATGGAGTTGGATGTAATTCTTTTATAGAGATTTTGATTTTTGATACTCTATTTTGGAAGAGTGCTGGAGATGCTCTAATTTAACTGGTATCCATTGTGTTCGGTTGATGAAATCGTATCAAGTATGTGAACTTTGTTGGTATACAATATTGGAAGTCGAGTATTATGGTAACACCAGGATACTGGCTTATTTAGTTATTTATTAATTTTTTTAATCACGTGTGACGTTCAAAATATCATTCAAAATTTGAACAAAATGACAGTTATTTATGTAACTTGAAATTAGTATAAACAAATACCAACTTGTATCAATCGAAGAAAGTTTTTTTTATAACTGTGGGTTTCCAGACCAACTTAAGAGCACATGGTAATCCCCTGAGTAACCACAAGTGAACATGAATGACCGCAGGTGAATCTCCATGGTCTTTGGTAATGCTTGGATTCGAACCTCAGTATATGAGATTTCCCACTACATCCCTCTAAGGCTTAACAGTGTGCCACATCCCAAGTGGTTATTCCAACCGAAAAACGTTGGCACCAAGTGTAGTTGGTTGATATACAATACATATAATTTATAATTGATTGGTACATGATATTAAATATATATATATATATATATGTGTGTGTGTGTGTGTGTGTGTGTGTGTGTGTGTGGTGAAAATGAAAGTTATGGTAAGAAGGGATCTTCAGATTTGAATCAATCCTAATTGAAGAGCAACACTAATGAAATGCATCAAGATCCATCAGATCAATTCATGTGAGAAGAACAATTCATGGGATGGGGATAAAATTAAAAGCGATCAATGGTCTAAATCTCTTCTTATGCTTTTCGCTATAACTCCTATCATAGTTTTGTACATGAAATAACTATGATTTCTCAACAATATTGTTTCATGCTTTAAATTGAACTGCAAATCGGATACATATTTGTTTTTGTCATAGTTTGATGAGTACGAAATAACTGACATCGTTTTATCTTTGAAAAATAAAATAAAATAATTTTGTTCCCATTTTGAAGTGGACCGGACCAAATTAAAAATCGATCTTTGAAAAATAAAGAATCGAAAAAGACATGAACATAATTAGTTCCGATCGATAATAATATTTGACTTTATCTATCTAGATCGAGTTTGGCACAACCGCACAAAATGCGTTAGGTGTACCTTGGAATAGACGAATAGTGATGGCTAAATTGGCTTGTCCCGACCCTGGAGCAAATTGAGACCGGTTACGACCCGATAACTCGAGACCAATTACAAATTTTTCGGAATTTCAATGCTCAGCTCGGGACCGGTTATATATAAGACCGGTTTTTTAAAAAGATAAGATTTATAAGTCAATCGTAACTTTTCCAAACTTTTTACAAAATTTTCTAAGTTTTTTTTTCAAAAATTTCAAGATTTTCTAAAATTTTCTAGATTTTGTATATACAATTTTTTTTATATTTAAAGTGTATTATAATACTAAATTTAAAAAACAGTAATTACAAAAATATATAACTTCGACTCTTTGCTTCTTACTTGGTATTAGAGTTAGAATGAAAACCGTCCGATTGCACGTAATGCCAATTTTTTTGCTTTTATAAGAATTAATCAAATAAAAAATAGTTCCATAAAATATTTTGTGTAAAAAGATTTAAAATTACCAAGCTGGACCCATGACCAGATTTGGAACTGGCCCGATGCGATCACAACCGATTACCATGTCTAGAATCAACCATAAGATTTGTGGTCGGGACCGAAATTGGCCGACTTCGGTTTTCATGGGCTGATTTATGACAACCATGACTTTTAACATTCTATACTTTGAAATATATATATATCTATACTATATTATAAAGCATTTGGCTAAAACTCTTAAAAACTCTTAAAACTCTTAAAATCTTAAAAACTCTTAAAAACTCTTAAGCCCGTTCATCCCTATCCGATTTCATCCCATATCTGAATTCGTGTAACTAATTGCAGATAAATACAATCAAATACAGGATAAACATCTCATTTTAAATATAA